CTCACCCCTCTCTCTCTTCTCTCTCTCTCTCTCACACACACACACAATTCAATCGGATTCACAGTTTTCAACCCCCGCTGTGCAGATTTCCGCCGCCCCAACCGCCGGCCATTTTCCGCCACCTGAGACCGGCGACGCCGCCGCCGTGTTTATCTTCTCATTATTGCGGCGTACTGTTCAAATCCGGCAAAGCTAAGAAGCTCTCCACCTCCGGCGACACCAGCCGACGAAGCTTTAAATTCATTTATCACTGCTATCACCGCCACGTTGCCGCCACCGTGTCTCCGCCGCCATGTATGTCTCATAAATTGCCGACCCTGCTCTCAATTCCGACAGCAAGAGGAAGTTCGCCACCTCCGGCGACACCAATCGGCCAACCTTCAGCCGTTTAACATTGTCACAACTAGAGCTTCGCTGCTACCGCCTACCCACCGCCGTCATTCCCAGCCCCCCACACACCGGCGGCGATGCTCTGCGAGGATTAACGGCCGATTTGTTACTTTTTCTTTTTCCATTTTTTTTTTTTTTTGGCTGATGAAGTCCGTCAAGAATTGGACGGTGAAGACGAAGGCGAGTGAACATAGAGACAGTGACTTAACTTCCAACTGAACTCAGGCGGTGGTGGATGGATGTTACTGTGATTTGAACTTGTGGGTTAACTTTTGAAAATTTGATATGTTTTAGGGGTTTATTTGTAGTTTTTCTAAGTTTAGTTTATTTAAATTTAATACTTGCGGTAAATGTGCAATATGCTAAAAGTTAATTAATGCATTATAATGCTACATAAATTACACATTATTAAGTGACAATCGGTTTAATTTGTCGGTTAAATGAAATAACACAATTAACTTAAATAAGTTGTATTATTTATTGTAAAATTATTTTAATTTTTTAATATTGTTTTATTTAATATTTTATTTTTATCTTTTGATTAAAAAATAGTATATATGTAAACCAAATATTCGTTGCAATCTAACAGTTATTAAGGTGCAATTCGTCCAACATTATGGTGCATGATGTTGGTATGTATTGTGCATATTGAACGAAACGATTTTTTTCCTAAAGAAATTGAAGTTGAACATAATTAATTGATTTTTCGGTTCGGTTAATCGAATTATCCTAAATTATCAAAATATTTTTTTTATTTATATTATGAATATATTTAATATGTTATAATTTAATTTATTACTTTTATGTTATTTCTGTATAACAACAAAAAAATTGAATTCGGTCGGTTTTGATCTCTGTTGTGCAATCCGATAGTCACGATAAAGTGCAACACTTTGTATTATAAAGTGCAACATGATGTTGTATAAAGTGCATTGTTAATATATAAAGTAACTTATTATAATTTTGTTACATTAGAATGTTTGTGCTTATTTTGTGGATAGATGATTTGATAGATGTTAAAGTATTATGTAGATTTGTTTTTTGTCAATGTTGGGTGGTATTTTGGCGGAGATATTGACATTAATTGTATAACATTGTGATAGAGTGCAACGATTTGTTTATACGGTGCAACGTTTTGGTTGAGTGGTATTTCGGCGGAGTTATTGGCATTTCGTATAATATTATTAATGTGCATTCCGTATAATATTATTAATGTGCATATTTAAAATAAAATAATAATGATTCTGACCTTTAAACTACTAATATTATTCGGACGATTAGCATTATTGTAATTTTGGTAGGTGCAGCGTGTTGTATATAATGTGCAACATGAAATGTTATAATGTGCAACGTACCTTGTATAAAGTGCAACGTACTGATCTATAAGGTGCAACGTACCGTTATAAGGAGCTGTTGTTGAAGTTAAATGTAGAGCGTGGCGATAGAGTGCAACGTGAGATTTATAAAGTGCAATGTGTTGTCTTATAAATTGCAACTATTGATATATAAAGTGCACTACTTTATATGATCATATATAAATTAACTGTTTTTGAAACCATATTTAAAAGATGTCATTGCACATCGCAATAACCTAAATAATTGAAATAGTTTATTATTTATTATTATAAAAATATATTTATTATTTTAATATTTTTATAATAATATATTAAAATCTTACATATTATAATTTTTTAAACATTTGTACACTTTATTTATTATTAATATGCATCATGTTTAATATTTTTGTGCATTATGCAGTGTAGATTTTTTTTTATGTGCAAATCCAAACTAACATCAAACCGGATCAATCGGGCTATTCGGTTAGGTAATTAAATTAACCTAAATAATAAAAAAATATTATTTATATTGTACAAAATATTTATAGTCTTTTAATAGTTTTATTTACTATATTATATTATTTTTTGCTTGACAATATATGTATGTATAAAACATAATTAAAAAATGTATTTTTAATATATCTTTTACAAATTACAGATTTAACCTATAGACTAAATTGAAAAATAATGAAATTTTGTTGAAATTGCAATCAAATCCCTCAAATTATCTAATTCTAAAAAATAAAACCTAGTACTAATCAGATCTATTTCATATCTGAATTGCAATCGGTTCCTTATACGTGGTCGACGGCAAGTGGTGGCGCGGCCGCGTCGGACAATCGCCGGACTCCCCTCAGCCGGACAATTGTCGGCTTGTTAGTCACTGTGTATGTGTGTGTGTGTTTCTGTTGAGCACGGTGGCGTCGGGCTTGGATTTCCCGGTCGGAGATCCATTTTTTTCAGGACGACGGCGTCGTCTTCCACGGCGGCTGCTAGCGGATCGGTGGTTTTGAGCGTCTTTGCATGGGGTGGCCGGACGTGATAGTTCCGATCAGTGTGTGTGTCTGTGTCTGTTGACCTGTTTGTGTCAGGGGAGGAGACGGGCGGTCTTAAGGTGGCGGGAGGCGGAATACGGCGGAGATGGGCGGCCTGAAGGTGGCGGGAGGGGGTGGACTGCGGGGATGGGCTGCCTGAAGGTGGTGGGAGGCGGGGGATGGCGGAGATGGCGATTCGACGTATTGTGTGTGTGTGGTGTGTGCACAGTGTGTGTGTGAGAGAGAGTGTGGGTGAGAGAGGGTGGGTGGGGTTGTGTAGGTGGGTCGTGCTAGGTGGGGGGTGCTTGCAGATGATTTGGGATGTGGTATTTTAGATGGGCCACGTGGCATAATGCTAGTGGATGTTGGTTAGTGGGTATTTTTAGTGGGTCACATGGGTTGGTAATTAAATATCCAAAATACCCTTAATGAATTCATAAATGCTTAAATTTCTTTATCCGTTGGATCATTCAATCTGATGGTCAAGATGTATTCTTATTTCTTTCATTAAGAACCATTCTCACTTGAACTCATCCCTATATATATATATATATGGTAACGCAAAACACTCCAACCGGCTTGGAATCGGTTTGCTTCCTTCTTCCTCGCCGATAGAACGCCGCGCTCCTGCACAGAACTCTCACACCAGAGGGGTTTTCAGGTGAAGAGCCTCCGATGCTTAAGTCAGTATATGTTTGTTCAATTTTCCAAAGTAAAGAATGGATAAATCGTAAACCCTAAGAAAAGGCCCACTCCCATATATATAGGAGTGAGATACCTGCCCTAAGAGCTGCCCGGATATTGGTGAGCTGTCCTGCCCTTGCTGCCCGTCCGTACACACACAGTGTACGTGTTGTCAGAAATGTCAGGAGTGTCAGAGGTGGTTGCTACCACTATCACTCTGCACCAATACGTTTTCGCCACGTGTCCCCCTCTGAGCTGAGGGGAATTATTCCCTTGCGCAAACCGTTGGGATCTCCTGACATCACTCACGCGCCCATTCGCGTTCAGGTCACGCTCTCGACTGCTTCCTTCCTGCTGCGTGCTCGATCTGATCGAGCTCCCCTTACTAAATCGATCCTCGACCAGCTCTGCTATTCTGCTCGATCTGTTCCGTTTCGGTCGATCATTCTTCAACCAACGTGGTTTTCTCCACCCTATGCCTGCCTGACCGAGATGATGGACCGGTCTGCTCCTTAGTCGTATAATATCCCACATCATCAAGTCCCCCCCACTCTGGTCGAGTCTGAATGACTCGATCTAAGAGTGGATTCGAGCCGTCCTTTCCATTTCGCCAATCCTCTCGATCTCCTACTCGCACCTGATCTCTTCTCTCGATCATTCTTGTTAATGTCGATGCCCAGCCTCTTTTCTCGACCATTTTCGCTGATGTTGGCACCTTTCTTCGACCACATGGTTCATTTTAATGCGTATCATAACTGTCTTTTATTTCCTTTTATTATTCAGCGTGGTTTCCGCCTGCCACATGTCCTCTCACTCTGTACTTTTCATCGCGCCTCCTCGCGATTTGTGTCGCTTCGTTATTTGCGCCCCTTTAATATTTTCCGCCGTTGGATCTTCTTTTATCTAACGGCCATATCCACTAACCCTTCACCTTATTCATTTGTACTCATATAAATGCAATACTTAGCCCTTTTTTTTCCACTTTCCCACTTTGCAATTTCGAACTCTCTGGCATTCTGCTTTCTCTCTCTGCAAGTTTCTCCTTCCTGCACTCGGCACCTCTTCAAGCAATTACCGACGACCACTTCTCTACCGCGACCATGAGTAAGTTTCCTGTGCTTCCATTTTATATTTGCGTGCGTTTACTTTGTCAATTTGCGATTTTTCCTGGAACTTCTTCTTTTTCCCCAAATTCCGCCTGTGACAGAAAACCTCCCTTTTCAAAAACCCTAACTCCTTTTCTCTTCCCCTTACTTTCACGCTCTACTTTTCAGATTCCGTTGATTCTAGCGCACCAAGCCATCACTCCGGTGAGGATGAGACATGCACATCATCGTTTCCCATTCGCCAACCTATTCCTCATTCGCCTTCTCGTTCTGTTGAGGAGATCTACAACCCCGTCCCTATTAGTGTCCTACGCCCTTCCGATTACACCACTCCTTCTCCTCCTCGCCCATCTACCCGTCTGATTGATGAATCAGATGAGGATACTCTTGACCACATCCCTCTCAATCGTCGTCGGCCGGCTTTTGGGGCCTCTGATGCCTTTGAAGAGGCTCTCGATGCTGCCGAGGTAGCCACGGGAGGTGATGAAGATGACGTTCCCCTCTCCCAACACTCCGTGTTTGCCAAAGTTGCCTCATCGAGTAAGCCAAAACAAAACGTTTCTTCCTCGCCCATCTCGAAACCTTCCAACACTCCTCTTTCACCGACCCGCTCAGGTCCTACTGCTGCACCCTCCAAGCCTACTAAGAGGAGGAGGTTAGTCAAGGCTTCTTCCTTGAATCAGCCCTCTTCTCATTCTCTCATCGCCGGCTGGTTGGACATCAACGAGGTTGGTCACCCGGCTAAGTGGGCGTTCGTATCTCCTGGTCCTAAGGACACATATGACAATCCCCCCAAGGGTTGTTATACCTTTTTCGAAGTGCAGTTTAAGCTTGGTATCCG